CATATCGTGCTTGAAACTAGCATCTGATGTCTGTTTTCTAACCCTAATAAAAAAAACGTGCCTTTTCTTATGAATCAACTCGATTTTGATTGGCTAAAGGCCGTGGATCTGCAAACTTTTGGCTGCATTACAGCATTACATATTTATTTACTAATTTTTGGCCGAAATTAACTTTTTAACTTTTCATTTAATAAATAGAAAATTTTAAAGAAATAGGCCGGTACAATGATAAAATTAGCTCAGTAACAATTTTACATTACATGTAAATTTACATAAGTTTCTTATATGTAATTTTCATCACGTTTACATAAAGTACCAACCAGATTTACAAATAATATTGCTTGCTGCAAATATGAAATGCGACCTTTTATAGCGCCACTAGAGTTGTAACTTATTGTCGCAATAGAATGTGACATCAATAATCTAATATATATGACTTATCTTGTAATAATTACAACATAAATACTGTAGGCTGTAAAGATTAAGTTGCGACTTTGCAGCAGGCAACATTATTTATAAAAGCCCTGCCAGCACTATTGCATCGTTTAATTTGAATGTGGGTAAATGAAAGCGAAAAGAGGATGCATAGAAAGGAAAGTAATAGCCACAAACCAAGTGGAATATAATACGTACATCTATACCAATAGAAATTAATTCAACTATTTCTGAATATAAAACTAGTTTAAATTTAAAAATTATAAAAACTTTTCAGGGTGTATAATATAATTATAAATTATTAGTTGTACTTTATTCATAAAAGTTATTGACATATATATTCAGAGACGCATTCACATATTTAATTAAAAAATGATAAATGATATAAAGAATTGAAGACTTCCAAGAACATGAATTGGACGAAATAAACAACAGTTTGTTGGCTAAATAAATGATTGTGTTGAATACACCCTTTTTTTCAAAAAAAGTACCGGAAATAAAAGTCGTCTAAGTATTTCTATAAACCATATGCAATTCCAGTCATATGTATTAATAGATGTCACAAATTTTTTTGGAATGCACTTCTTTATTTTCTATTTGGTTGATTATGCATTCGATATTAACTGTCAGAATTCTGTAATCAAATTTTTGAAATGTCAATTATGTAACTGATCGTGGTGGTTATGATAGGGTCATTAGCGATACGGAACAGGAGCGACCGTTCAAATTCCGATATGGTTACACGATTGATAAATAATTTTTTAAAAGCTCGTATAGCTTAACTTTCTATGAACAAGAGTAAATTTAACGGATAAATTAATGCTTTCATTGCCATAGCATATTCTTTGAATCCCCATGAATCCCACAACTTTTTTTTGCAATCTGATTGGCTTATTTACTAAAATTTGATATATGATTGGTTGATAATCACATGTAATTATGTCGAATTTGAACGGTCGCGAAATGCTGATGTTATAGTAAATTTATTTATATTATCTCGCGAGATGCACATCACTAATTGTGTACAGTGATATCTACCGGTACCTACCAACATACATCACTAGTAAACTTAGAGATGCGATCCGGATATCCGTTAGTTTAATTTTAAACCAAATTTATTATGAATAATCCGGGTATCTGAAAATCCGTTAAATTTTAAACAAGAAAACGTATAACAGATCACACCTATATGCTAGTAACCACCAATCGAGGGAGCAGCCACATGATAATCCGACTCCTGATCTCATTTACCTATTGCTATAAACAGTCAGCTTTATGATGACCTTTTTTTTAAAAAAAAAAGTCATTGGAATTCGGTATAGGAATATAATAAATGCTTCGATAAGTAGCTTTAAAATTATTACTATAAGAACGATTAGTTCATTATAAGAGAGTTAACTGTATATGATTCTTTTTTTTTTTTCTTCATTCGTTTGTTTTTCATATTTGGCAAAAAATAAAGGGTGTCTCATATGTAGAAATACGAGAAAACACGATAGACAAATGATTACAACTCATCCACGTTATTATGAAGTCCTCCGGCTGGGAAAAATTCTTCACTACAACTCATATCGAGAGAATACTAAATAATATATTTAATTTAACATTTCAAAGTTATTCATGCTCATTTATAAATCCAATTAAGTAGAAACTTACTATAATAAACTTCTTTATAATGAACCCTGAACATAACAATCAGCGAAATTTAAATTTATATTATTGGAAACTGTAGATTTGTATATTCGACAATTTGATGCCTTTAATTCATGTTTTACAGTTCATTATATCTGTTCTAATAGTAATGGCTTGTTTCAGAAATCAAAATTAATAAATCTTTCCTTTCCAACACAACTTATTACGAAAAAAAGATTGATAAAAGCACAAAATAAAGATTGAAAAAAAAATTAAACCTTTACGACAGGGTGAAACCCGTGCTGTGAATTAGTAAAATCCGCTATATAGTTAACATGAGAGTGAAATCCGCTTTTGTGGATTTCATCCTAACGTGATCTACGTAGGGAGTGCATACGCAGATAGATCCAATAAGAAAAAAGGCATATTGATATGTCCCAAAAATGATTATAATGGAAATGATCAGAGATATCGATATATGCTCCAGCCTATCGTCACCACACTATTTCCTGGGATAGATTATAACGTTTCACGACATTTAGCACTTGTTATTTACCGGAATCAAAATTCCGCTTCTTACCATTATTGTTATAATTCTGTCAAAAAAAAAATGATAATGTTACCAAACGAATGTTTTTTTGAAATATTTAATAATTTTCGAAATTTTCGAACTGATTATAAAAGTTTACTTTCATGTCTACTTGTAAACCGTCGATGGTGTAGAATTATTATACCAATATTATGGTGTGAACCTACAAATTATTTCAATGATAAAAGACTTATAAGAATATATCTTCTAGCATTAAATACTGAAGAGCAAGCTTCATTGATTCCCTTTAAACTTATTCTTCCAAATTATCCAAGGCCATTATTTAAATACGAAAGTTATACAACATCTGTTGGTTCTTGTTTGGATGATGGTGTCAAAAATTGGCTTAAAAATGAAGGATATGAAGTAGATGATTTCAAAACAGATAAACTTGCAAATGCTATCAAATGCTCTTTATTTGCAATGTTTCTGAGAGCTAGTAAAAATCTTAAAGATTTAACACTTAAAAATGTTATTAATAAAACAACTTTAGTAGATGTACTTTGCAAGAATACCACACTGACTTCTTTGAATCTTCAAACTAATAATCTTGGATCAGAAGGTGGAAAAGCATTAGCAGATGCACTTTGCAAGAACACCACGTTGATTTCTTTGGATCTTTACGATAATTATCTTGGATCAGAAGGAGGTAAAGCATTAGCTGATGCTCTTTGCAAGAACATTACGCTGACTTATTTAGATCTTAGCGATAATGATCTTGGTTCAGAAGGTGGAAAAGCATTAGCAAATGCACTTTGTAAAAACACTACTCTGACTTCTTTGAATCTTGATTGGAATAATCTTGGGTCAGAAGGGGGAAAAGCATTAGCAAGTGCACTTTGCAAGAACAACACACTGATTTCTTTGGATCTTCATTCAAATAATCTTGGATTAGAGGGAGGAAGAGCATTAGTAGATGCTCTTTGCAAGAACACTACCTTAACTTCTTTAAAATTTGGTTGGAATAATCTTGGATTAAAGGGAGGAAAAGTATTAGCAGATGCACTTAGCAAAAACACTACGTTGACCTTTTTGGATATTTGTTATAATGATCTTGGATCAGAAAGTGGAAATGCGTTAGCAGATGCACTTGGCATGAACAACTCACTGACTTCTTTGGATCTTACAGGCAATAAACTTGGTCCAGGTGTTGGAAAAGCATTAGCGGATGCACTTCTCAAGAACTTCACACTAACTTCTTTGGATCTTTGCTATTGTAATCTTAGATCAGAAGGGGGAAAAGCGTTAGCAGGCGCATTGTGCAAAAACACTACACTGATTTCTTTGAATCTTCATGGCAATAAACTTGGACCAGACGTTGGAATAGCATTAGCAGACGCACTTTGTAATAACACTAAGTTGGAAGAATTGATTCTTTATGAAAATAATCTTGGATTAGAGGGTGGAAAAGCATTGGCAAACATACTATGCAAGAATTCTACCTTAAAAAAATTAGATCTTCGTTATAATAAAATTAATTTTATTATAAAATCCAATAATCCAAGCATTAAAATAAAACAATAGATTAACAAAAGTTTAATTGTAAATTATGTAAAATTATTTAGAGTAAGTCTAATCATTAGTCAGAATGATTTTATTAAAATACCTTGAGATTGATCTTTATATTAAAATCTATAAATGTATTATTTAGTTTAACCCAAAATTAGTCAATTATAAATAAAATTTTAGAAAATCATTTGCTTAAAAAAAATAAGAATTTTATAATTTATTATCATAATAATGTATCATTACTTTGGATTTATGTTAAAATTTTAAACTTAATTGTTATAGAAATATCTGAAGTGTGGTTTAAAAATTTAAAATAATATGTGATTCTAGTTTTTTATCAAAAAATAACTCTAACTTTCCTTATGCTATTACAACAAGAAAGTTGAATTTTAGTCCAATAAGTTAGCAAATATGTCGTAATTTAAAAAACGCAACTCTGCCTATTTAACAATAAATCTATGTGAAAAAAATTATCTTTTTTGAAAATATAAATTGTTATGTTTTTTTTGTTATTATAATATGAAAATCTAAGATGAAATATAAGTATTTTTTAAAAAAAAACATATTTTAGTTTATTTATAACAATGAATCTAATAATTTTATTAAGTATAAAGTAAAGAAATTTTATACTGTATTATACAATGTCTCTTAATATAATGTAGACCATGGTTTTGGTCTTTTGATTGTTATATTAAAAGCTTCATAATATCACAAAGTTGTCAAAGTACTTATTAAATACTTATCAAGTGGAATCCCACCATTTTTTAATTACTCCAATCAATATATCTTAATCAGAGATATTTCAGAAGGTTTACGAGAAAAGGAGATTAATAATATGCCTCCGAAATATGTTGATCTCTACAATCAATGCTGGTCTTCAGATTCATGCAAACGTCCAACAGTAGACATCATTTTAAGTATACTTAAAAAGCTACAAACAGAAAAACCTGAATTCATTTCATATACAAATAAGTGAAAAATGAATAAAGCATTTCGGTAGAAATGTTAATGGAAATGGTTTTATTCTGGGAACAGTAATTATTTTAGGAAATAATAGTTTTTTAGAAATGGAAAAAATAAGGCAGCCAATACCAATTATCTATCTTCTGAAGGAAAATGGAATAGAAACAGAACATGATAACGTACATATCCACATTTCAACTTTATCTTTACATTATAAATATGTCCCAACAGAAGAATTTATTCAGGATATTAGAGATAAAACTGAGAAAAAAACAAACTTGACGAGAAATTAAATTATATAGTGAATATGTAGTTACTTCGGCAACTATTGGTGGTGTTATCGAAATTAAAAATTAGTTTGAATTTGATGATGCAAGTAGATTGTGCTTAAAAACATAACTTCAATAGAGCATTGATTATGCGAAGGACATAAAAGTAAACAACTTTGAAAAAGCATCGATTGATGACATGTATTTATTTACCAAGTTCAAAAGCATGAAAAATGCTGGGATTTATGCAAATGGGTTAAGGACCTACATAATTCTAATTCTTTGGATATTATATCATATGAAAATTCAAACCTACTATTCAATTATTACCAAAAGATTTAATTCTTGAATGTTCTAATCGTCAACATAATGATGAAACAGAATTAATTTCAAAAATTCGCTCTCGCTATGATAAATTAAATATATCAGAGTGGATAACCCTTCCATTATATACGTGTGATTGGATTCAAGACAATTTATTACAACATAGCATAAATTTACAGCGCTCAAAAGCAGGAAGAGCTAAGAAGGCTGCTTTTAAAATTTTAAAGGAACCAAAAATAACTCTGATAAATAAAATTTCTATCGCCTTATCGCAACAAGAATGGAACTTGATAAAATTCTTTCTGCAGAGAATGGTTCAACACTTAATATTCCTTTAGAGGACTTTAAGGACTCTAAAAAGCAACCTTCTAATGCAATTTATTGCCAAGTAATTTTCAGATGATAAAAATTTCATTCGACCTATCAGACATCGATATTTACAAGAATTTACAAATGCAGTAGATTCTACACTTCAGGATCAGAATGAATCATCTAAATCTAAAACTGTTTGTAAGTTATTCGGTGAAGATTATGGACATTTATTTCCAAGAACTTTTACTTTAGGTGGAGTTTTGTCAAAAATATATATATATCAAATAATCACCCTCTTAACATCTAAACACAACGATTGAATCTTAAATCAGATTATACTATATTATTTGTTATATCACGGATTCATTATATCAAGGTAATCTTCTGCATTATACAGTATATCAAGGTTTTATATTTAAAATTCGCTGTTTGTAATAAAAAGTTTTAGCTGAAAAAAATCTTCGTTATAATGGCAGATTCAGCAGATTCGGTTTATAATCAGTGTTGCCAATTATTTGTTCTATTGATAAAAATTATATTCTATTCTAATTTCTATTGCTCTATTCTATTGTTCTATTGTCCTATTTATTTATTGCTATATTAATATCTAATTATAATCTTGTTGGCAATTCTTTTGTTCTATTGACAAATTTTTATTTAATCTAAATTCTATTGCTCTATTCTATTGTTCTATTGTTCTATTCATCTATTGCTACCAACACTGGTTATAATATGGGCCAAAGTTTGCAGATCCACGGCCGTTAGCCAATCAAAATCGAGGATCTGCCGGAGCGATTTTGCAGCGTATATGTAAAACGTATTACAACGAACATTATTGATTCCATAAAAAAATCAATTCCGACCAAAATTATATAATGCGGGCCTAGATATTGTCGATCATAACAGCATCTAAAATGCTAGCGTAAAAAAAAATGAAAACAATCCAAAAACCTTTCGTAACTCAAAATTTTGGCTATGAAATTGTCTTCTGCGTACTAATAAAAAGTTTCCTTACAAAATTTTGGTTAATTACAACCCTCTACCCCAACCTACCTAATTCTAAACTAATCGCGAAACCTTTTTTTGTGAACAATTATTATTGGTTTTAAATTTTTAAACTGGTATTACTAATCTTATATGTAGTCGAGACTTGCATTTTTTGCTCGACACTTAGGTTTAATTACTAAAGGCGTTGGCAAATTTTTCCGTCTGGCTTTCCACATGACAATCGCGTAAATGATTGAAAATTTTCACCGGATTTACAAAAACACCTGTTTATCTAGTAAAATACCAAAAATAAAAAATAGTAAGACTATACAATAATTGTGATTATAATAGGATTATATGAGTGAAAACCTGGAAGTGAATCTTTAAGTTTATCACTGTAGCGGACTTAGTCTTATAATGCATAATAAAGACAAAGTTCGCTACAGTGATAGACTTAAAGATTCACATCCAGGTTTTCACTCTAGGGATCCCTAATTTCTTCCCACGGTTCTAATTGGACAGTTGTAAATGTCATCTCTAATTGGACAATGTCGACTACGCCACCTTTCGTCTACCAATCAAATTATAAGATCAGGTGTAACATAAAATTTTCAAAAAAAAGTCAAAGTTTTTGAAGTTTTCAAAAATCGTCGGTAGCTTAAAATTTTAGTTACAAAATCACCTTTTGTTCTATTAGACCTTTATACTGCTTCAACGATATTTCCATTATTTGATCGAAAAGTAGGATTTTTTCTCGTCCAATAGGAACTGTGGGGGAAAATTAGTAAACCCTTCACTCTACAGCACTCATATTATATAAGTTATTTTCAAATACAGTCAGACCTCTCTATAGTCACCTCTAAAGTCACATTGCTTATACACTTATAAAATTTAACCTTCAGATAGGCATAAACTCTCTATATGCACCTAATTCTTAAAACCAAGGGTTTTATTATAGAGAGGTTTAACTGTATTATTGATTTTTAATAAACACAATTTTTAGAAGAAAAATTTTCCAGGGTTTGATAATAATAACTAACCCTAATTAAGGATAGATCTGCATCAAGTTTGTCGTTGATGTTTTTATCATCCACGCATGATTTTTTGTTTACTAATCAATAGAAATATAATGTCGTACTTTGATGTAGTGAAACGTAAAGATACGTAGTGCATATTCGATAAATATTAGAAAAAAATATTATATGAAAGGGTAAAATCCGCGCAGAGATGATAACTTGCATTCTCATTTGTGATCATATAAGCATCATCTGATTTTCAATTTGGGAATCATTCAGCTTTATCACATTCCTATATATGGCAACTGACAACTCACTGCGTACACACAATAAAGTATAATGAAAACCTTAAAGAATTATTTTGAAAAACCAACTAATTAAAAACTTTCCAACTAATCGATTTGGAAAATTTTAAAACAACTACAGTCGACCCTCCATAAATGCATCCTCTATAAATGCACACATTATTTATACCTTCTCTAAATGCACACTAATATCACTCCCGAGCATATAGAGCACTTAATAAAATGCCCTCCATAAATGCATACCCTCTCTAAATGCACATGCTTAAAATTTTGCTTATAGTCCCAAGGGGGTGCATTTACGGAGGGTTGATTGTAGTTTATTAAATTATCCGAGATATTTTGTCTATTTGGGCTAACTCCTATTAATTTCTTTAGTTTGTTTGGCCAATTAACAAAGTTAGTCACATGATCGGAAAAATCGATTAGTTGCAACTAGGGGTCTGCAAATGCCCATGCCCGGCACATTGGCACCAGGCCGGGCATTAGTGCCTTATGCCATGCCTGTGCCTAGAGGTTGGATCCGGATACATCCGGATACTTTTATAATCATCCGTTATAAATCCGGATATCCGAACTTTTTTAAATTTTAGATTCGGATACTATCCGGATAGTATTCAGATAGTATCCGGATACTATTCGGATACTATATAGATAAATTTTAATCTGTTATTTTGTGCTAGTTATATAATTTTATCTTGCAAACTCTTATGATCATGGATTGCCATTTTCTGTCTTGTTATTTTTTTCACGTGTTAGATGTAATCATGTTTATTAAAATTAAAATTCAGCCAACAACTCCCTACCTATCATGATCATAAATTGTCGGATAACACCAATATTGGGCAAATTGTTGAATACGATAATTTGACTCAACCGAGCAAATGATTGGTTCATGTGCCCTTTGCAGCACATGTTCATTTGTCCCAGTTTGCCAAATTACTGTTATTCAACAATTTTTCCCAATATTGTATGCATATATATATCATTATTAAAGTGTTTATATTGTTCTTAAAGCTTAATACTTATTTATTTTAAATTTTGATATTTAAGTAAAAACATATATATAATCTTAATTAAATAGATCTTGTCAATATATAAATTTAATTTGTTAATTTAATAAAATAAAACAGATTTTGCCAATATATATATAAAAATAAAAATATAATACTTAGATATTTTTAAGCATATTTATAATTTTGATCAAAATTAGTTTAAATCATAAATAATAAAATTTTAAAATAAAACTTATCTTATTATGTTATATAATTATCTTAATTTGGCCAGATTGATTCTATATATTTTATATTTCTTTTTAAAAAATAATATTTTGTTAAATAACTTAAGACTTAATTTTGTTCTTTTTTTATTCATTACAATTTCTGCATATAAAAATAATCCTTCACTAGAAGTTGAAGTTGCTTAAATTGATAAAAGTTTTTGTATTATTTTTGCAATTGTAAGAAATGTGTCTTTTTGATTAGTTCACCAAATACAAGCATCTGTTTTAATTCCAGTTTCTAATAAAATTAAATATTGTTAAATTTTATTTTTAGTATATTTTTTTTTTGCTTTAAGTTGTTTTAATAAAGAGTTACTTGAAAGTTCATTATTTAAAACAGATTGATAATTATTATTTGTAAAATCACTTGAATCATAATTTATATTATTTTGTTCTTCATTATATAATTGTATTAAAATATCTTTAGTTAATTTTTGTTCAGATTTAGAGATAAATTCAAATTTTCTATATTGAGGATTCAATAAACTATATAATAATTCATTATGAGTTAGAAATTTCCAATAATATTGTAATGCTTTGTATAATGCTATTTTGACTTTTTCTACTATAAAATTATAATTTTCTGAACTATTATTATCTAATTTATTTTCTAATAATTCATCAAAATTAATATCATCAAAATTAATATTGTCATCAAAAGGTGTTTCAGTTATTATAAAATCTATTTCTTCTAATATATCAAAATCTTGTTGCTTATTTGAAAAAACACCTAATTTTAATGTATTAATAATTGGATTAATAAAACCTATCATAGAAAATTTGCTTGATCCTAAAAATGTTGTAACTTCTGCAAATGGTAATAAAATTTTTACTAAAGATTTTAAAATATCCCATTCTTGATTAGTTAATAAAATTTGTTTAAGATATTGGTATTCTTTTTTAGTTTGATAATTTGTTACTTGATTCATAGTTATTTTAATAATATCAATTGCATTTTTTATTTCTAATAATCATTTTTAAACTAAAAGTGAAGAGTTTTATCTAGTTTCAATATCTTGAATAACTTTAAGATATTTATGATTATTTGCAATTATTTAAAATTAAAAATTATAAATTAATAAATTTTAAATTTAAATTATTTAATTAAAATTAAAAAAATACCTATTTTTATATAAAAAATTACTACTTTTACTACTATAAATTATTATATATAAAATTTTAATAATAGTAGATTTATTTAAGTATATAAAAATAAAAATTTAAAACTGATTTAATAATTTATTATAATCAGCTTCCAAGTTTTTAATCTTATATATTTATATAAAATAATTTATATTAATTATAATTTATTATAATAATATATTTGTTATATTGATATAATTAAAATTATAAGAAAAATATAGTAGAAATAGTAAAGTTTTATATAAAAATAAATATTTAAAAATTATAATTCCTTATTAGAAGAAATTTTTAAAAAATCTTTTTATACAATTTCTAATCTTTCTGACTGTTTTAAAGAAATAAAAAAAGCTAATAAGTGTTTAATTTTTGTTATTAATTTTTTTGCTAACATTAATTCTTTTCCAATTACTAATTGTAATATATATACTCAATATTTAATATAATATATTTCTAAATTTAATAATTCAATAGCTTTTTTAAAATTTATTGCATTATTAATTGTAATACTAATTACTTTAGATTCTATTTTTCATTCATTTATAATATTATTCAATATATCTTTAATTATTTCTCCAGTATAAAGATATTCACATTTATAAATTTTAAGAACAATTTCATTAAGTTTAAATTCATTATCTATTCAGTGACATGTTATATCTAAATATCTATCTCTATTATAAGAAGTCCATAAATCACAAGTTAAAAGACATGAAATAGCTAAATTAAGTTTTTAAATAAATATATTTAAAGAATAATTATAAGCTTCATATATCATTTGTTTAACAAATTTATTGGTTGATAATTTATAATTTGGATCTAAAGAACCTATATAATTTACTATATTTTTGTGATATACGGGAGAGAGTTTTTATGCAAATATTTTAATAACTAAATATTTGAAATTTTTTTGATTCTAATATATTTAATAGTTGATCATCTTTAATAATAAATTTTACTAAAACTTAATTTTGTAATTTTTGTTATATAGGATTTTGAAATATATACTTAATATTTTGTTGATTTGATTTAGTAAATTTTGTATTATTATTTTTTATAATTTTATGAATAGTACCCAAATGATCTCAAAAATTTCCAGTAGATTTATCTTTTGTTTTTTTTTTTTTTTTTTTTGGAGTTAAGGTGAGGTCATGCCTCAAGTCTGTTTATTCGAACATATTGTTACAGTTT